TAATCTCCATCAAAGTAACTTATCATTTATTATTTACAAGGTGATGATGTGATTTACATGATATGTACAATTTGCTAAATTTCCTTTTTCCACCATAAACCAAAGAGTGTAATGAATGTTTACTAAGTATCCAAAATACATTTTCAATGTCTTACATTCTAAAGGCATATCAATATAGCATATTGACTTAATCTTTAACCTATCAAATATCCTATACCATTTAATAAGCTTCATGAGAAAGAAGTTGGATGCCAACTTCTCAACAATTAACTATCAATCTTGAGAATTATGTATGAAAATAAAGTTTTCTGGTGCTTTATCTTTTACAAATTTCATCTTTTTGTAAAAGTAAAAGTAAGCTTTAGTAGAATAAGATTATTTGCTTGTCTGTATTCATCAAAAAGTAATCGAAACTTTTAATATGTTCATGTTTCTATACGAACACGCCACATGCCAAGCAATTCACAATGGGATGCTCAGTGATGCCTTTGAAGTGAAGACAAGAGTAAAACAAGGCTGTCACATACTGTTACCCATCATATTCCTGATTGCGGTCGACTGGCTCATGCAACAAACAGTGAGGAGCGAGAAGACGAAGATACGATGGACCGTGGAAAAGAACCTAGACGATTTGCATTTCCCAGATGGTTTATGTCTAATGTCACACAAACTCGAAGATCTACAGGCGAAAACTAACAAGTTGACAGAACAGGCGGGACAGAGGAGACGAGATTTTGAGTGAACGTAGACAAGACACAGAAGACGAAGATATCCAACCATCTCACAAACAATACAACAACAAGCACTAATCAACATCAACGCGAGAATCATAGACGAAGTAGTCTCTTCCACATACCTACCTGCACAGGCAGCATCGTTTCAACAACAGGCGGCACACGCACAGACAACGACGTCAAAGCAGGGATCGGAAAAACAAGACAGATGTTCATTATCCTGAAACCAGTGTCCAGATCCTCTGCACTGCACGCAGCATAAAGCGTGAACAACATCCCGATTTTCAACACTTATTCACTCAAGTCAGTGCTACTGTATGGCTCACAGACTTGACGCCTCACAAATCGCATTCCCAACAAGCTACAGACATTCATCAACAACTGCCTACAGTGGTTACTGCAGCTCAGATGACCAGAAAGGATAAACATCAAGGGACTCTGGAACGAACCAACCAAGCATCTGTCGCTCAACAAATATGCAGGATGAAGTGGAGATGGATTGGACGTGCACTGAGAAGACCGTTTGGAGACATCACGTGTCATGCCAAGCACTCGAGTGTGACCCAGATGGGAAGTGACGAGTTGGGTGTCTGAGGTGGTGGGTGACATGGATAAGGTCGTGTGAGGAGGAAAGGAGAGGTTGTGGGCAGTCATGGAGCCAGTTTGGAAAGATTGTAGAGAAATGCAGAATGGAATAGAGACGTGCTAGTGAAGGTGTATGTTCCACTGGGAACCCAAGGGACAATTAATAGTAATAATGTTTCTATACAAGCAGTTTGATATCAGAAAACAGCTTCGTTGTTCTTAATAGAGAAGTGCGCGTTTTGTATTTCCTTCATGTGGAGGAAGGTACATCAGCCATAGCCAGAGAATGCTTTCTACATGTATACCAGAACATATTCTAGCTTGGTTATATAAAGTTGAAAGAAAGTCTGTTAGAAGTTCCATTCTAAAACATTTGATTGATTTCCATCACTCAACAAACTCAGACAATGAGGCTAAAATTATTTATCATATTCGCTTAGACCTCCCACATTTTCTTTGTTTCCAACTCCTTAAAACAGCCAACGCTTTATCTATTCATGAACTGAAACCTGATCTTTGTGTACAAAAGAAGCATGTATAGTCAGTTCGTTTTTACCAAGGCTGTAACATTTTCCCCTTCCCCTCCTTCTTTGTTAGTTTTAACCTTTGTATACTTCCTATATAACTCTTATTGTTATTATAATTGCCTTCACTTTAATTGATTTCAGGTGTTATTTCACTTAATTGTCTTAATCTTTTAAGAAAACATTGATTTTATCTTGACCAACTTGTCTAGTCTTATTACACAATACTTAATTGATTTGTCACTTTCATCAGTTGTAAACTTTCTGTTAACCATTCCGTAGATTACGTAATCTACGTTGTTATCATTCATACTTCAATAGTTATCATAATCATAAATACTTGTCATCATCTGCTCTATTACTATTGTCATCATCATCATCATATATGTTTATTCTTGATTGCATTGTGTTCTCTGAGCTGAGTTGTTCAAATGTGAAGCTTTCGTCATCTTCCTGTGCTGAAGATGTCGTCCAGAAAGAGGATGAAAGCTTCACGTTTAAACAACCCAGCTCACAGAACACAATACAACTAGGACCATCCATCTGAGCTGCAAATATTCCCTGTTATTTCATAGTGTTTAGTTTTCCTCAAGGGATATACTTTTTCAAATAGATGTACAGTATGAAAATAAATTCTTTAAAAAGAGTCTCTTCGCTGAATATCTTGTTCTTGATTATTATTATTTGTCCCTTGGGTTGCTAGTAGAACATAGGGCTTCAGTAGCACGCCTCTACTACACTCTATTCTCTGCAGTCTTCTTAACCTCACTCCACGACTGCCCACAAGCTCTCATTTCTTCCTCACATGATCTCCTCTATGTCACCCACACTCGGACACTCAACTCGTCGTTTCTCCTTTTGGATTCCACTCGACCGCATGGTTTGGCACGTGATGTCCCTGGTCGGCCTTTTCAGTGCATGTCCAATCCATCTCCACTTCCTTCTGCATGTTTGTTGGGTGACAGATGCTTGTTTGGTTCGTTGCCAATCACCCTGAGTTACTTGTTGCTTATTCTTATTATTCTGAACCGTATAGAAGCACTAACTTGACGTTGGTGTTGAAAATCCGGATCTTGTTCTTTGTACTGAGTGCAGTAGATCACCACACTGGTTTCAGGTTAATTAATGAAAACCTGTCTTGCTTTTCCGATCGTGGCTTTGACATCCCCATCTGTGCCGCCTGCAGTTAAAACGATGTTGTCTAGGTAGGTGAAAGAGACTGCTTCCTTTAGGTTTCTCCCGTTGATGGTGATTAGTGTTTATTGCTGACGTGATTGTTCGTTGGGTTTAAGTCCCGTTTTCGCTGCTTCGCTTCTTCTGTCAACTTGTTAGTTTTCTTGTTGTTCTTTATGCTACAATGAAAATTATTAATTGTTTCATCCTTTACCATACCCTTACACCTGAAATCGCCTGTCTCCATGTTTGATAGAAGTTCTCATTAAGAAAGCAATAACATGGCATACATAGTTGGGAGTTATATCAATAACGGGATCATCAATATTAATAGAACGGTTAGAAGTTAAAGCAATTAGTGATGAGTAATTCATTTATTTGGCCTGAAATCCAAAATATTTAACTTGATAATAATTAAATTCATCATCACAAGAAACAAAGATTCTGGTAGGAAAAACTCTGTACACTGAGCTTAGCCTTAGTTCATATACACTATGTTTTATGAGTAACAAAAGACAAGACTCAATCAAAGATAATTTATCTCTCTAAATAAACCAAATGAACTTGAATAAGCATATTGATTCAAAACTACACTATAAAAAATCTGATATGAGTTGTTTCCAAGAAGCAGAGAAATGTATTAAAGACATTTCTTAAGCAATATTTTCACAGCATTTTATCCACATATTCATTCGTATAACTCATTAATTGTTATTGTTATTCATTGTAGACTGATATCAGTTGGAGGAATAAAGGAAACCTGGGAGCACTGGACAGCTGTTTCATCCTACTAGTATGGGACTCCTCAGCAGTGCGCACCCACGACCCCATCCCGCCAGGGATCGAACCCACGGTCTTCAGGTCCTGTGGACACCAAGTTATCCTTGAGCTAGCCACTGGGTCAGAATCCAATAGTCCATATACCCAACTTCTATTAGCTCATGATATAGTGCAACCACTACCCAATGTCATCGTTGAATAACTGTCCTCACAACCATCAGGCTTTGCCGCCATCGGTCATGACTTCTCATTGGAACTTCTTGAATATAAAAATGACACGATCACATATCTAATGCCATAGGATATGCATCCTAATTATGACTGTAATTTACTCTATCATACCTAGAATCTATATACCTTGTGTACTAATGTGAATTCAAAAACTTATCAAAAGCGTTCAGCATAATCTCTTGCCAACTCAATCTGTGATTCAGAATCAAAAACTTCTTCAACAGAAACACTATCAACCAATTATTAAACATTCTTAGCTACTTAGATAACTGAATCTGTTCCTTAATGTTATTCATAATCGAAGAAACAAGACATCACATTCTATTCACCTATCCGTTTATCATATTCAAAGAAACTTTCATCTTATCAGTAAACATAAATGAATCCATAAAATAAGTGAGTATATCTATGAAATCAGGTTGCGTTATCCAATTGATTCCATAAGCATAAAATAGACGTTTCAAAATAAACAAGAATACTCTGAATTGAGGGGAGTAGAAGAAACTTAATTTCTTTGATAGAAAAGTATCACAAACCTAATCCACTTTAAGGGAAAAAAAATATAAAATCCATGTAAAAATAGAAGAAAGTGTTAAGAGAATTCTTAAAAAGTAGCAATATACATGTGAAAATAAATAAAACATTGATATGCACTTTTTTTTTTTAATATTTCTCCTGTCGCTTACCAAGGCACTCACAGTGCCATTGTCGAAGATTTTAAAGTAATAGGCACCAAAAAAAGAGAGAATATCACAGTGAAAATATTATTTAGTTTGAAAAATCTTTCGAAATTCTGGATCATTATTTAATTGACGAGTAATATTGGCTACATTATTTTCTGGAGTACCATAGTTTGGTGGGATACCCAAATCAGCATAGCCTAATTTTTGTAGTAATTTACTTTGTTGATGTAATGATTGGATCAAATCTTTAGGCAACTTTGATGTTCTCGAAGCCCAAGCTGTTAATGATGCTAAATGTATTGGATGAACAACTTGTGAGGTACTTGGTTCTAGCCTTTAAATAAAATTAAGAAGACATTAAAACAGATGAACGTAAAAGGTCAATGAATCTGAATGTCATATTTGAATAAACATTAAGCAATACTAACTGATGAGGTGATTGTCAAGAATCAACAACTTATTTGTTTAACTATAGTTGACCCACTTTCATAGATGAAGTACCTAATTCATTTAGCAAGGATAATAGCTGAATTTAGTTCATCCATACCTGCTAATATGTTAACATGTAACAAAGAAATAAAAGATGGAGAATTCTACATTCATGATAACATTTTCAAGTCACTGTTCATTATGCTTTCTAGACCTCTATATGGATTTTACTGTTTGGTAACACATACATCACAAAAACAGCCTGAAAGCAATACACTCATATCCATCAAGCTTGAGAAGGAGCTTCTATTTTGTAAAACTTTATATTCCTGCAAATATAATACTTCCACGCTTCTTACAATTCTGTTAAACAAATAGATAGTTTTAAAAAAGAGGAAAGGCTTTGTCAAACGAACACTTTTAAGCTGTACAAACGCATTTAAATTATACATCTGTGTACACACTTAGTAGGTAAAACAAGAGCTGGTGATCGCTGTGACCTAAGTTTTCATTTCATCTTTAGTCATCACCCAATACAAATCTACCAAACCAGGGCTATTTCACTTAGTTAGCGCGAATAATAATCAATGCGATCGTTTGTCACTTCAGTTCAAATAGATTTAGGCCGATGTGAGAAGTTCTGACTGTGCAACCAGTATGAGTACGATCAAGTGGTAGTAATGAGTCATGAAATCACACAGTATTATTATCATTATTATTTGTCCCTTGGGTTCCCAGTGGAACATACACCTTCAACAGCACGTCTCTATTCCACTCTGCATTTCTCTACAATCTTCCCAAACTGGCTCCATGACTGCCCACAACCTCTCCTTTCCTCCTCACACGACCTTATCCATGTCACCCACCACCTCAGACACCCAACTCGTCACTTCCCATCTGGGTCACACTCGAGTGCTTGGCATGACACGTGATGTCTCCAAACGGTCTTCTCAGTGCACGTCCAATCCATCTCCACTTCATCCTGCATATTTGTTCAGCGACAGATTCTTGGTTGGTTCGTTCCCAGAGTCCCTTGATGTTTATCCTTTCTGGTCATCTGAGCTGCAGTAACCACTGTAGGCAGTTGTTGATGAATGTCTGTAGCTTGTTGGGAATGCCATTTGTGAGGCGCCAAGTCTGTGAGCCATACAGTAGCACTGACTTGAGTGAATAAGTGTTGAAAATCGGGATGTTGTTCACGCTTTATGCTGCGTGCAGTGCAGAGGATGTCGACACTGGTTTCAGGATAATGAACGTCTGTCTTGTTTTTCCGACCCTCGCTTTGACGTCGTTGTCTGTGCGTGTGCCACCTATTGTTGAAACGATGCTGCCTGTGCAGGTAGGTATGTGGAAGAGACTACTTCGTCTATGATTCTCGCGTTGATGTTGATTAGTGCTTGTTGTTGTATTGTTTGTGAGATGGTTGGATATCTTCATCTTCTGTGTCTTCTCTACGTTCACTTGAAGTCCCATCTTCACTGCTTCTGAAACCACACAGTACTCAGGCAAATACCTAAGTGACTGAAGTGAATAAAGCCAAGTAAGCAGTCGAATCTAGTTTCCCAGTTACCAAAGTACCGGGTCAGAATCGCTGATTTAAATCCTACTATGGCCAAAATTTTCATTTCACCTACAATCATCACCCAGTTGCAGTCAATCAGTGGTTCAGAATGCAAAAAAGTAAAAGATGTAATCAGTTGAGCTCTGTAGTGTAATCTTTGAACTTACACTTCTCCCACATTCAACACCAAAAACACTTTAGATGAGAACATAGGTCATCGAAAACGTCTAACTCAGTACATCAATTCTTAAAGATAATACATTTCCAAATGTAAAAGAAACCAATTATTAAATGAATATTTTGTAAGCTTGATTTGAAGATCTGTTGAACTTTTCTTGTAAGTATGACTGAATGATTGAATATGGTCTAAAATTTACCATTATCTTGGTTGTGTTGTATTCTCTGAGCTGAATGGATTAATCATGAAACTTTCATTGTGGTGGTGTAGTGTATTAACCAATGAATTTCCTTTGAATCATATTACACAAAATAAAGTAGACAGTAGTCAAAGAAGGCAAGTTGAATATCATTTACACAACTAATTGCAAAGATTGTGATTAATACTAAATTGGACAAAATGTGTCACCATCTTCTTCGTTTGTATGAACAATTGTTGACGAATAATTATCACAATATTTCGTCACCTATACCATTGCACACGGATAACTATGGACATGAATTCAATTTTGACCTTGTAAAAATCTTGGATAGAATATCAGAGAATCCCTAGAAGTTTGTATTGGGTGGTGGTTGGAGGTTAGGTGAAAATCTGGACCGCGGCCGGATTCGAACCAGCGACCACCATGTTACCAACTCGGTGCTCTACCAACTGAGCAACGAATACTACAAACACCAGTTTGCCAGACTACTGCGAATCATAATCCCTAGAAGCTTGACATTCAAATCAGTCAGTAGTCATCAGATAACTAGACATAGATCCAATCAGTGTGTGATTGCTTTTATACCATACCATGGTTGATTGGACCGAATTGATCGGTCTCTATTGGCATATGGGCTCCTGTGCGGATGCCTAGATACTTCCTGCGTTCTAACTATGTTAATGATGGATCGTGGCTAGCAGTGGAATCCAGGATGCACATTTCGTCCTATTAGGGACTCGTCAAGTGGATGTAGCTGCCTCCCAGCGAGTGATGTTGTTCCCACCGGGATTCGGACTCGGACTACACCGAGCGGTGTGATATAAAAACAATCATACACTAAAAACTATACCCGTAGCAAAAGAAGTGTCTATCGTGGCTTAGTGGTGTAGTGGATAACGCTCTAGTGTTTCAAGCTATCGCTCCCGAGTCCGAATCCCAGTGGGAACAGCATAACTCATTGGGAAGCAGGTACATCCAGCTGACGAGTCCGAAATGCGACAAAATGCGCATCCTGGATTCCACTGATAGCCACGATCGATCATTAGATCCAATCAATCAATAAAAAAAACTATTGAAAAACAATCTCAAGGTTAGTGATTAGGTGAAGAAATGATAAACAGGAATATCTATGCAATCAAAAACTATTTCAGTCATGGTAAGCTACTGATTCATTCAAAGCAATAGGAGCTTCATGATCAACCAACAATTAAGATCATCTGCTTTAACTATAAATATTCTTTAACATGTTTTTATTTCATACCAGTATCGTTTTATTTTTATCCTTTGCTGAATCTAGTTAGAACATTTGTATCGTTATCAGGATGTTGTTGTAATTAATTTGTCTAACTTAGTAAACGACTAATTTTAATGAATAAAAAGTTCATTCTCTAATGAATCCCTGGCAATTTTGTAAAAAAAACAATTAAATAATCAACAGTTTCTCTGGTTTTCTTCTCTACTCTCAATAATCAATCTTCTCGCCAGATGCAACAAGAAATGCTGTTTTTCTAAAATAAAATTCGTGATACAATAACGTATAATTCTCTAGTGTATTTAGTAATTTCTAACTGATTTCTATACCGATTTTTGAGTACTACAGCTAGTTCCTGACAAGAAATCCATTCAAACTGATTAGGTGATTGATTTCAACTAAATTTCCTTTTAAATAAGACATCAGTTCTTAAAGAATCCCTACTTGAAATCAATAAATCTCTATAAACTTCCAAAGTTAATGACTGTCTAGTCTTTATTCATGACCTACTTTCTACCCTGACGGGGTAGTAGTTGCACATAGCTGAGAAGTTCAATACTAATCTGAAAGCGAAGTTTATTGCTTCCAAGTTTCCGATGGTTTTCTAACTGATGACAAAAAGTGGATAAAAAAGGAGTGACATTATAGTGGATAAAAGTGTGTTAGAAAATGAATAATTTGAAGATAAGAGTTAGCATGAGTATTCAAGCTTTAGAAGATATCAAAAAGTGAATATATCTGCAACATTCCAACCGATTTCCAGATATGCCATTCAGAATCAACAACGATTGGTTCGTATCATCTCGAGGACCCCCAAATAAACACACTCCATCAACCCATATGCCAGAGACTAATAACCAGGGACTTCATCGACTGATGCTACATGTTCATTCATTTGACCACCTGGAACCTTCATCAAACCTGACCCAGCCTTCCCTACCAGGGCACGTACAAGTAGGCGGTAACTAGATATGGGTAACATATCCCCAAACCATCTCAGTTGATGGAGGTTCACAACCTCATCAATCGACTGCCTCATGTTGCCTAGTACTCTTCACCTGACCTCAACATTGTTCACACCGTGATTCCACCTCATACGAGCAATGCTACGAAGACATCTGTGATATAAATCCTGTAGAGGCTTCATATCTTCCACTTTGAACAGTCATGTCTCACAGTTGTATAGCAGAAGAGAACAGACTGTAGCGCAGTATACGCATCCTTCGATAGACAGTCGGTTATTTCTTTACTGAGCGCTACAGATGATACAAATTGGTAAATGCTAAACAGGCCTTCTGTTTCACATACGGCACCTTGTCAGCAACCAGCTCGTTTGAGTTGATCCGACCACCCATATTAGTGAAGCAGTCGAAAAAATCCACCACTTTACTTCGTATCATTAAACTGAAATTCTTAGATCACCATCTTAAACTTGACTGGTATATATACATATGTCTCATATAATAGTCTGTTCCCAATTGCTCAAGTGCGACATCTTTAGTTTTTCCTGATTATATATTGTTCAATCACAGCACTATTGCAGAAGGTTTGCAAGGAAGGGACGGTACCTGCCTATTGACTGGAAGGAAGGATTTCATGTCAAACTCCCAAGGAAGGACGACCTAGGTCTTCTTAAGAACGGATACGCAATCATTTTCCCCTCCTGTACATCACAAGCAAGGTGTTAAACCAAATCATACTGGAGAGACCAT